ATGCTTCCGATAAACCGGCCACAACCAAAAGGCTTGCTAACCTTCCGCCACAACAATCCCGCCCCCTTGATAAGCGACCAATCACATTCACTTTATTCACTCCTGTAAAGTCGGGCACCACTGGGAGAATTCGGAAATGCAACGGTTGGAACGGCCGCTTCCCTACGAGTTTAACGACGCTTTGCTGTAAAATGTTTGGATTAAAGAATAGTAATGAACATTTTATAGAAAATAAAATAACTTTGATGCAGGAAATGAAAGGGTGAGATGTTTGGTTTCGAGTTTTAATTGTCTGCTTTCTTTGTCTTAATTTGTCTGTGCAGGTTCTTATTCCTCTGATTGGTTCTCTGATTGATTCAGCAGCTACAGTCCGATGAAGAGAAGCATCTCAGCTAAGCTTCTTTCTACAACATGCTTCAGATTTTATGGTTCATTTTTATTTCATCAGCTCTATTTTGTAAAGTTGAGCTTATTGTTCTAATTTCTCAGTTATTTTGATTTCTGTTGTTGTTCAGTAGATTTTTGTGTTTTGCTCCTGTAGTTTTTTCCGCAAACAAAAACAAATAAAACAGACGAAGCCTTTACTGTAACTAAACTGCATGCTGGTTTATTTGGTCACTTTGGTAACGCTGGATGACATAAATGAATAGAATAAAACAAAAAGCCAAAAAGCTGCAAGATTCTTTAGCAGCTTCTTCCCCCCCGCCATCAGACGGCTGAACTGTTGAGAAAACTCTAAATCACAGACTCTGCATCAGACTGACGACACCAAACCAACAATACTGCATAATTGCAGCATAGATATTAATGCTTTGAACTTCCAGATCAATGCGTTTTTTCTCTCTCACTGTTTAGATTAGATCACTGCTGCATAATGTTCATTTACCGTCTGAAAGCTGAACTAAACATTATTTCGTTTCATATTCACTCTGTGTACAAAATGACAATAAAAGTCAAAGTTTCTTTCACAATAACGGAACAACAACAACAATGTAGAGCTTTAATATGACAAAATACTCAATGGGTATCCCAAAAAAAGAGACTTAAAATCAATCCTCTGGACTTTGTTTC